ATACACTTCATGGTTCCTTTAGCAGTTGGAAAATGCCATTTCATTTCCTTCTGGCCTCCAGGGTTAATGACAAGGACCCCACTGTCACGCAAACTGCTTGTCTCTTTCAAAAGTTTTTGTTTGTCTTTAGTTTTCAGAAGTTTGGGTTTAACTTGACTGAGGGTCACTCAATTTCTTCAATCTATAGGTTTTGTCTTTTTAAATTTAGCAATGTTTAAGCCACTGTGTCTTTGAGGCTTTCTCACACCTATCCTTTTATCTCCCTTCTAAGACATCTACGATATGAAAACTAGATTGTCTGTTTTACTTCCTTGTGCCCCAGGGCTTTATTTTTTTTCAAGTCTTTTTGTTTAAAATAGGCAATATTTACTGTTTCAACTTTCCTGTCTCCTTTCCATTCTGCTGCTGTTTGCAATTTCAGTTACTGCATTTTTCAGTGCTAAAATTTCCACTGAGGGCTTCTGTCCTTTGTTGACACCACATTTATTTCATGCTTTACATGTACAGCACATGCACATGCTTTGAAATACTTGCCAGGTAGTTCTAGCATCTCTATCCTCTTAGTGTTGGGTACCTTTTATAATTCAAGCCGAGTTCTCCTGACTCTTTAGATTATAAGTGATTTCCAACTGAAATTAGTACATTTTGGATCTTATGAGACTCTGAGTTTTATTTAATCATTTCTGTATGTTGAAAACCAAAACCTAAAAGTCGTCTGCAATGCTTCATTTTCAAAAGACCACACACTATGTTTACAGAACACATGCTGATGTTTACTTACTAGTAAGGTTCGCCATTTTTCAAAAAAGTATCTTGTTCCTTTGGGCTTGCACTTGCTTTTAATTCTTTCACTATTACTCTTGCTACACTTGTGCCTGTGTAAATCTCTCCAAGGAGGACCTAAAGAAAAAAAGTTTTGTGTGACTTTCATCAAAATGACAAAGAAGATTCAAGAAAACTAAGTAACAACCAGATGACCTTCTATCACTTCACATATTTTTTTTTTAACAAGGTGGTCTTTTTTTTAATCTTTATTTGTGTGTGTGTGTGTGTGTGTGTGTGTGTGTGTGGCCAGCTCAGCCCACCAGAGGGCGCGGCCGGCTGGCATGTGGTGCTGGGGGATTGAACCGTGGTCCCTTTGCTTTGGCTAAGTTTGTTCAAATAGCTGCTGTAGACCACTGAGCCATCTCACCAGCCCCCACTTTTACATATTAACTTACAAAAAGCTTAGAAAATTCAAGACACTTTTTTCAGGAATAGGGTCATTTTAATGTATTCATCAGGGGGAGAGTAGAGGGCAAGGGGAGGAGAAGCAAAATTGAGTAAGATTCTACATGTACATATATCTATATATCACAACATACACTGATTAACTAAAAATAAAACTACTTATATATTTACAACATTCAGAACATAAACATACAAACATCTTTTCTATTTAAACCATATTTTCAAAGCAATAAGCTATGACATTACAAAAAAAACTATGACATTACAGAAGAGCAACACATAAATTCAACTCAACTCTAACTGAAGTGCTTCTTTTTCCTTTTTTTGTATTTAGGACAGGGTGTACAGGGTGTACAGGGGTCTCACTGCATAGATCAGACTCGCGTGATCCTGTTTACAGCCTCCCAAGTGCCTCCCTCTTAAGGCGCACGCGGGCCCCACTGCACCCAGTCTCAATCGCCATCTCAGGCTGGGGCTCGAATTCCTGGCCCCTGCATCTGCTTCAGCAGGCAGGTCCTTCAATCTGTGGCCCTCAAGTGCTTCTTAAAAACATTTTGTCATATGGTTTGCTGCTGACGTGAAGAAGGAAGCAGACAAGCTGCCAATGTACAAACTGCTGTTGTGCTGAAAAAATTTAAAATCCATCAGATTCCAACAACACCAGGCTTTATCTTCAGAGAAATCCTCAAGTACCAAAATTTCAGTCAAAACAGAGGGAAAAAGTTCCACTAACATTAGCAAAACATAAAGAAAGAACCACCTCATATAAGAACTAGGTATGAGGAAAATATTAAATGTAAATAGTACGATGCAAAAGCCTTCTAGAATATAGTTATTTCATCATTTTAAAATGATGATGATGAAGTAAAGTTTTTAATAAGAAAATGATCAAAGCTAAATGGCTTCTTTTAAAATAACTTATGGCTAGGGATACATACACCTATAATCCCAGCTACTTATTTTTATTTTATTTTTTTGTGGTACCAGGGATTGAACTCAGGACCCTGTGCTTGCCAGGCAAGCTCTACTGAGCTATCTCCCCCAGCCCAATCCCAGCTACTTACAAAGCTGAGGCAGAAAAATTACAAGTTCAAGGCTAGCCTGGACAATTTAGCAAGATCCTGTCTCACAATAAAAAGATTTACAAAAAAGAAAAGAAAAGAAATGTGTGTGTGTGTGGGGGGGGAAGCAGCTCAGTGCTAGGCGCCCCTGGGTTCAATTATCAGTATTGAAAAAAATTTATGTATTTTATAAAGGTAATTAATTAATTTATTTTGGGACAGGGTCTCACTACATAATTCAGGCTGGCTTTCAACCCACTACATAACCTAGGTGGTACTCGAACTCATGGCAAACCTCCTGTGTCAGCCTCCTGAGTGCTAGGATTACAGGCATGTGCTATCAAGGTAGGCTAAAGTAAATTAATTTGAATGCTCCAGATAAACTAATAACTTCAACAGAACTCAATATGTTTATCAGGAATACAAGGGCAGAAGAGTAAAGAGAATAAAAAATTCTCATAATTAAATCATATTCTTTGCCTTGAAAGACTACAATATACAATAAACACCAGTCTTAAGACATCACTTTACAGTGGGGAAGATCGGCTCGGCTTCTCGCTCCATCGTCACTAGCACCCACGGTGCTCATTATCTCCAAGGACAATTTGCTTAACACCTAGACCTCTCAGGTTGGTTTTTTTTTTAAACTTCATTTCTGATCACAATTTTTACATTCTCAGTAGCTACTTCCATGATCTGGGTCTAGGTAAAATTTACCTTATGGCCCAAACCTTGAATTCTGCCCTCTCCGTTTCTATCAGTCCTTTTATCTCTAATTCACCTCCATTAACCACAAGTGCCCAACTTGCCCTCCAATTCCATTACTGGTAGGGCTTTCTACGAGTCTCCCTCACTCCCCTTCTACCCTTCCCTGCTCCCTTGCTGTCTCTGAAGTGTAACAGCTGGGAAAACCCTGGTATTGTTACATCCAACTACCAGCCTACAATAAAACTCCACCAGCTGAGAAAGACGCCACCATGATGACTGCCCTTACAAACTTGTCAGGTCCTCAGTGCTGCCCTCCTGCACTTCCCTAGCTGATTGCCTTTCCCAGACGACTTGCACATTTCCTGTTCAGACTGCCTATGTGTGGTTTTCTCCTCCCTCTAAAGGAAAGACAACCATCAGAAGTGATTATCCTCATTTTAACACCACCCAACGCACCTGGGGAAGAGACACTGCTCCTGCCCTAGGAGCAAGTCCTCCACCTGCGCTAGTGACCCTGACCTCTTGGTCACCAAGGCTTTACTCCTATTACTACCGTTTCTCTTCTGCATTCATTAGTGTCCTCCCTCCACACAAACATGCTGAAAGAGCTTCCCCTCCTATGCAAAGAGAATACTTCATAAAACATGTCCCTGGCCCTCATGATGTCACCAGATTCGCCTCCAGCTCTCTGCTCCTTTTTAGAGTAAAACTCAAGAGAACTGTCTCCTCCTCCTCCTCCTCCTTTCTTGAACTCTTTCCTTGAGAGGCTGTGCCACTGCTCCTTCCCCTAGAGTTTCCTGCCAGAACACGGAGGACCCCGTGCTGCTGAGTCCTCATTCTCCCAGTCCTGATCTTGCTCACTTTGAAGCTGCAGCACTTGCTACCAGTATGATGAACCCTCCTACATCACCTCCTCAGCCTATTTTCCAAATGTCCCTCTCAGGGGGCTGGTTCCCTCCTCACTGGCTGCCCCAACTGTGCTGACCTCTCCTGCTCAGGGCCTGAGGGTTTAATCATTATGCTTCTCTCTTATCTTCATTTTAAAATCCTCAATGAGCTCATCTAGACTTGCTTCTTGAAATCCTGTACCATCTATATCCCGAGTTTTCCTTCTTGAACTCTGGATCTGCACTGCCAGCTGCCTTATAGCACTGAAAGCACTTACTATACACATAAATAATGAATGCCTCCAGAGCCCAGGATTCTGGAGCCAGCCTGGGCATCACAGTGAGACCGTCTCTGTCTCTCTTTTGAGACAGGGTCTTGCTATATAGGCCAGGCTGGCCTTGACCTCATAGCAATCCTCCTGTTTCAGCCTCCCCAGTGCTGTGGCTGCAGTCATATACCACCACATCCAGCTTGAGATGCTGCCTCTAAAGAAAAAGGACAAAGGTGCTTTGCCATTTTTACCATGTGAATACACAGCAAGAAAGCACAACTCAGGAGGCACTTGGTCCTGGACTTCCCAATCTCCAGAAGGTGAGAAGTACATTTCTGTTTTTTTCTAGCTGCCAGCTTATGACACTTTGTAGAAGCCTAAATGAATCAAGACACCCTTCTAAAAAGAGCTGCACACCCAGGAGTGCTGGATCTTCCAGGTGGTTACAGGGGACAGCAGTTAAACTATTCACACAGCAATACCTACACAGAATGTGGAATGTCAACTGATAACAATCCTTAACTAGCTATAAATTCTAAACTGCATAATTAGAAGGGAAGAAAATGAAACTGAAGAATACTTTACCTTTCCAAACCAGCCATTTCCAATTTCCTGTATATAGTTTAGGCTGTGGCGGGCAACTTGAGACTTCAAGCCTTCTGTAGAAAAAAGAACATTAAAAGTCTAAGTATCTAACTGAAATAAATGTTAAATACCTAATATATAAGGTGCAAAGATATTAAATAAATTTAATGGTTCTGCTAATAAAGGTAGCAAAAATACGTAAAAATTGCTTTTGAATAATGCCACACTTCCAAGTTTTAATATTGACAATATTTTAAAATGTGTATTCTACTTGATTCTTTAGTACTATGTAGTTTTTATGATCCAATAATTCCAGTGAGAACACCATCAAGTGGACCAATACAGAAATAGGAGTACTGGAAGGAAGATGAGACTAAGATATTTGAAGACACATGGTAGAAAGTGCCCCATATCTGCTAAAGGATATGAATCTGTACATCCGAAAATCTCACCAAACTCAAAGAGACCCGTATCAGCTAGCTCTTTTTTTTTTTTTTTTTTTTTTTGTGGAACCTGGGACTGAACTCAGGATCCTGCGCTTGCCAGGCAAGCGCTTATTCTACTAGGCTATCTCCCTGGTCCCAAGAGACATATATCAAGACATACTAAAATCTAACTACAGAAAACCAGAAACAAATTCTTGTAAGCAAGAAGAGAAAGGCAACTCATCATGTACATGGGAACCTTAATAAGATTAATAGTATATATTAAAAATTAAAACTCTAAAAGACTAGTAAATTTGTGGTACAAACAAAGACTGTTGACTATTAAAATCAGGAAACCTGTTCATCAAAACTATCTGTTTTTGTACATATGTGACTTTTCTTTTTTAGTGTGCCATTTTGATTTCCTTTTCTGTGTATTTTTAGTGGTTACCATGGGAATTCACTTGAGTTAACATCCTAAATTTGTAACAATCTAATGTGAACTGATACCAACTTGGCTTCATAAGCAACAGCACTAACCACTGATGCCCAACTGGCAGAAACATAAATTGGTAAAATTTCTGAGAAAGATAAACTGGTAAGATCTATTAAAATTCTAAGAACATACACTCTTTGACCCCTTCTAAAAATACATTCTACAAATAAAATATATTAGTGCAACAGCAATGTTGAAGACAACTCTGGTAAAAGCTTTATTTTTAATAGCAAAAAAGTTAGAAACAACCCAGATACTCACTGCCACTACCTGTCTGGTGCTTATTTTACCCCCTGCCCTGAGACGGTCTTGCTATGTTGGCCAGACTGGCCTCAAACTCCTGGGATCCTCCCACCGCTGCATCCAGAGGACTGTGCATGATGTGCAACCTTGCTGTCGTTTCTTTTCATCTTTACTTATTACCTTAATAGAAGTTTGCATTTCTTTAATTAATAATGATGTTCTCCCATTTACTGGCCATCTAAATTTCTTCCCATGATTCTCTTCTTTTATAGCCTCAGCTTTCTTTTCTAAAGGAGTACTTACTCCTCTTTCCCTACACATTTGTGTGAGCTGTTAATACATGTTGCGGGTTGTGTCTAGATGCTCCCTCCCAACCTCACGCATTCATGGAGGGGGCCAGGCTTCTCAGAGGTGGCTGTATCTAGAGTCTGTGGTACTGGGATCAAGGCTGTCTGATATAATAAGTCCACTGATTGGTCTGGCAGAGCGCCAGCTAGGACTAAGGGTGTGAGTGCTCTACTTACTCCAGGGCAGAGAGCCTGCATACAATGTAAAGGACACAAAGTGGCTCACCTCTCCCTCCCTCTCTGGTAGCTTTGCTACAATCTGCCCCACAATCAACTCTGCCAAGCCACTCTGCCTTGAAGCCAGTTGATCATGGACTGAAACCTCTACAAACTGTGAGATAAATAAACTTTTCTTCCTTTAATTTGGGGGGTAAGGTATTTTGCCTCAGCTATAAGAGAAAAGTAATTAAGACAACACATAATAATTTTTCCTTGGCTGCAAAACCACAAGGAGATGGACCTTGAGTTTATTAAATACCTTTTGCTACTATGTCAAATTGGCACATGGTACATTTTTCCATGCAGAATATTCTATTTCATGAATTAGATTTGGTAATACTTTCCTTTATGGCTTCTAGTCTTAGTGTCACGTTTGGAAAGCCCTCTTAGATCCCAGGATAAAAATACTTTGCATATTCTAAGCAGAGAAACTTAAAACTGATTTCTTTCTATTACAAGTAATTTTAGAATAGAAAACTTTAGTAGAACAGAAAGAAAGATGGATACAGATAGTCAGGATAGCTACCCAGCTCTATAATTTCTCTCATGGCACTTCTGCCTGTGCCCCCATCTATTTCAACAGATCTTAGAAGCTGCTAGTCTCTTGTCTGTCTCACCTCCTCCTTAAAGGATGGCTCTGAGGCCAATCCAGAAATGTCCCTAACAGGTTTTTCTACTGATCCAAGGACAGAGAAGCACCTTTACTCCTTGGCTGCAAAACTACAAGGAGATGGACCTGGACCTACCAACAGTCATGCTTGTGACAGAAGAGAGAAGCCACTGGGGGCCAAGCTGAAATGCAAAGGGAAAGGAAAGTGAGCAGTGGATACACAGTGCCAGTGGGGATCAAGGCTTAGCTGTCCGCAAGGTCAGCTTTAGCTCTATTCCTCCCGTGGGCTGGTTCTCTTTCCTACTGACGCTGAGCTGAGCTGGGATTCTACCACCTAAGTTAATTCAGAGGGGTTAAATGACAGGCCTGTAAAAGCTCCTGGCTGCCTTTCAAGGCTGTTCTTGAGTACCAGGAAAGCAAATTTCAAATAAGCAGTAACAAAACAGTTCGGTTTTAGAGATAAGCCTGCTTTAAGTTGTCCTAAGAATACAGTGGGCACCTTTCAAACTTCACTATTCCAATTGAAGTTAATGTTACTTATAAAAATTAAAGCTAAATACCACATGCTATTATTTCTAAATGTTATAAAACCTAAACATTAAATACACCTGACTTGACAAACACCTTATGTAAGAGATACCCGCAGAATCACAATTCATCTTGCTAATACCACTCTAAACATAGTCCACTGTGCACAGAGTACCACAAAAAGCAGGCTCGGCACCTAGACTCAGGAACAGCTTTCTTTTAGCAATCCTGGAAAAACTTTTTGAACCACTATTAGTCATACTTTTTTTTTTTTTGGAAAGGAGCTTACTACATAGCCCAGGCTGGCCCTGAACTTACTACGCTGACTCACTGACCTCAAACTCTTGACAATCCTGCCTCAGCCTCCCAAGCGCTGGGATTATAGGCATGTGCCACCACATCCAGCAGTCACACTCTATTTTATTTATTTATTTTTCTTGCAGAACTGGGGATTGAACTCAGACCCTTGCGCTTGCCAGGGAAGCACTTACTCTCCTGAGCCATCTCCCCAGCCAACACTCTATTTTATAACAAGGAATCAATTAACATCTAATCAAACCTCTGCCTTAAGGAGCCAATCTCATTAACATATCCAATATACCTCACTTCCCCACTTGTAGCACATCGCAGAAGAAACAGCAATGTCTACTCAGCAAGATAAGCCCAGTCCAGAGCTGGGAGGATGGGAGCTCATTCAAGGGTTCAGGGTCAGTGCATTAGAGGCCAGTCTCATTCTTATGCCAGATTCTGGGACCAGCAAGGGTAAGACAGCTTCTGTAGGAATGGTGGGCTGACTAGAATGCAGCTTCACTGGGAGCAGAGGGCAGTGAAACAGAAAGATGAGAAGATAGGCAGCCACTACCTTATGAACACAAAAAGGTTTTTTTTTTCACATTTATTCAGAAGTAATCCATGAAGTTTTGTTTTTTTTTGTTTTGTCTTTTTTTTTTGTTATTTGTTTTTTTTTTTGGCAGAACTAGGGATTGAACTCAGGTCCTTGTGCTTGCCAGGGAATTTCCATGAAAAGTTGATGTTAGGCCATCAGGTCTTACCCACAGAAGGCTGGAACTGTGATGGGGCTGGAAGCGAGATATTTGGTACTGACAGCGTGAAGACCTCTGCTGGGGACTGAACAGATGGGGTGTCTTCTGCTGGTGGTGTGAAATCTATCTCATCATCAAAATTATCTTCAAATTCCTAAAACCAAAGGGAGCACATATTACAAATCACTGGCTAACATTTAAGGTAGCACAATTCATTTATTTGGTGCACAATGCTATAATTTTCCCTGCAACTCATATTTATTTCAGCTAAAAAAATATGTGATTGTGCTCTCCAATTTCAAACAAAAAAAACTGGAGAGTAATTTTTTTGTAACCTTTAAAACTGATAAGATTAAAGACAGTTATGAGATTCAGAAAAAATTTCCCCCCTTGGGTTATTTATGTGGTACAGGGTCTCATTACACAGCTCAGATTCGTAGTGATCCTCCTGTCTCAGCCTCCCAGCACTGGGATTACAGGTGTGCATCACCATGCCCGGGGGTGGGGTTGATGCAGCATGTGGTTTCAGAGATTGAATCCAGGTCCTTGCACTTGCCAGGCAGGTGCTTAGACTGCTGAACTATCTCCCTGGCCTGTTTTTTTGAGACAGATTCTCCATATGTAGTTCAGGCTGGTCTTGAGCTCATTTTGTAGCCCAGGTTGGTCTCGAACTCACAATGATCTCCTGCCTCAGACTTCTGAGTGCTAGGATTACAGGTGTGTGCCAGCATGCCCAGCAGAAAAAGTATTGAGTCCCATTTCTCTGGAAAGAGTAACAATGGAAAAACTAGTACTCTCAGCACTTGGGAGGCTTAGGCAAGAAAAATATCACGTTTGAGGCGAGGCTGGGCCACACAGTAAGTTCAAGGTCAGCCTGAACTACACAGTGAAACCCTATCTCAAAAAACAAAGTAAAATAACAAAAGCATTACAACACCAGGTAAAAACAATGATCAGGATCTAAACTGAAAAGACCAGTGTAAACTGTGTGGTACACAGGAATGGTGGCATAGCCCAATGGTGGAATACTCACCAAGCATTTGTGAGATCTTGGGTTCCACGTCTACTACCTCCCTTCTCCAAACAAAAACCAAACTCAACAGAACAGTGTGGCATCTAAGTATAATTACCATAAAGAACATCTGATTTTCTAAAGATGTTAACTTTAAAAATAAGGATGTACAAATCAGGTGTGGAACCTTTCAAAAACTAGGATAGACATCGCTCATTACTGTGATGTGGGTGTTCCTTGGGGTCCAGGTCAATTTCAGATAGATGCATTAGATTACCAAGCTGCTAGTCTGTTCAGATAGCTACCAAGAATCACCTCTCTGGGCATCATACACATCAGCAGACATGACCCTTCCATTCCTCTGCCAATATCCTTCTTTTCATCTTCCTTTTCTACCATCTACCCCTAACCCTTTCCGATACAAGGAAAAACCTAGGTTAACGAAGGTACATTTCTCTGACATCTGTGTTTTTGATGCATGTGAGAAAACACTGTCATGTATGCTATATGAAGTATTAAAGGACATTATTTACTATTTCACGGGGAGGGGCAGGGAAAATGAGACACTGCAACCAAAGTCTCTGAAGGTATTTTTGAACAGAAGATACTGTTCAGTTTTCATTTTGGATGTTCCTGAAGGTTCTCTCATTAAAAGGACCAGGTCCATTGCACCTAATTTAAAAATAACACTGCTCAAGACCTGGCAACAGACGTGATAAAGTGTACCAGTAATACAAATGAGATGCAGCTGGGTCACTCTTGTAGTTATACCAGTGCCTTCTTGGAACTTGTGCAAGTCTGTCTACCAGACTGTAGTTTTTGGGTCTCAAGTGACCTCCCTGGGATAGTTCAGCTCTGAAACCACAAAATTCTAAATCCAAAGGAGTCCAGAGAGCCATGGATGGCAATGAATACCCTTTATTACTGGTCACATGAACTTTAGAATGGAGGAGACCTGACATCAGAATAACCTGGGCCTCCCAGTTAATACAGGTTCCCAGCCTTGACAGTAAGTCACAATCACCTCCCTCATCCAATAACAACATTCAAAATTGTGAGGACACCTGAAGGCAAGTATGAGGTTTCACGAAACATGAGAAGAGACCGACTTCAGGATCAGCAACATTTATCTTTCTCTTTGTCCTGAAATGGCAAGAGCCCCGTGCAAAGTCCTTCAGCAAGACTGACTGAAGGGACACAGATTCTCTGCTCTACTTGTGCCCCCAACTTTAAGGGCCCAGAGCAGGGCCTGCAGTGAGGCGACTGCCCATGGGGTGGTGCTGTGAAGAAAGCCCCCTGGCCCCAACAGGCTGACTCGGGACTGTGGCCTGTGTTGCTGGGTCCTGCCTGCAGCCCTGCTCCAGGCCTTTAGTGCAGACACTGTTCTGGGCTGAGGAGAGCACACCTGGGAGAGCTACCACCTGACTGCAGACACACACTGCACACAATCAAAACAGGAACAAGGCTCTCAGTACCGGGACTACAGGCCCAACCAAAAGAAGGTTTCTGGCAAGGAGAAAATTTTGTTTTCTAAATGGAGCCAGTGACCCTCAGGATGCCTGAGCTTGTCCTAAGTATAAATTAAGGTCGTTTTCTCTGCATGCAGGTACTCATGCTTCCCCCTCGGTCCCGTTTTTTTAATAAGTATATACAGAGCATTAAAAGAGAACAGCCAGCATGCAGTAAGATCTAGCGTAGGAGTTCCCAGTGGCTTATTGGTAGAGTCCATCCAGTAGCAGGTACAAAGCCTGATTATTATCCCTAATCAGGATTTTACAGCTGGCAGCATTCTTCTCTTTGGGAAACTCAAAGTTTCAAGATCAACTTGAGGTTTCAGTACTGTTCCTCATACACAAAACATGGGGGAACCCCTCACCTCAGTGATCTAATGACCACAAATTCACCAGCCTAGAAAAGCTGGGAAAAACACAAAACCAGTCTGTTCTTCCCTTTGTTATGGCAAGTGAAATTGATCATCATGCTGTATTCCTCTCTCAACAAAAGCTTACAACTCACCACAGAAGGTGCCTATTGTCAGAGATGTTCTAAGGCAGGGCTGGCAAACTATAGCCAGTCTGCCAAATCCAAACCACCCATTTGTAAATCAAATTTTACTGCACAAAGCTACGGTCGTGTGTTCACAAAGTACAGTATCTGTGTTTGATGAAGTACAATAGCAGAGGTAAGGGCTGGGCAGTTGTCACAGGGACTGGATGGCCTGCCCTAGTCACTGCTTAATAGGGCAGAAGACATTTATTACCTGGCCCTGCTGATCCTTGCTCCCACGAAGCAGGGATATAAGGCCACTATATAATAGATAAGTATGTCACAAGATGATTTCAAATACTCTTGCAATCTGTCCTCACCTTAAAGTCTATTTCTGGGTCCTTACAGCAGGAAACACAGTTTGCAATTAATACTATTAATATCATTAAACTGCACACAGACAGGATCACAAATGTTGAGGGAACTTCTGCAACAGTCGCCTCCCCTAGAAAGAGAAAAATACTATTAAAAACAAGTACGTTCCAAAACCAAAATCAACTACCAAATATATATCTGCTAAATATAAACGAGACCAAGGATTAATAAGGCTTAACTGCTAAAGAAAAAGTTGATGGTCAATCTAAGACAAGAAGTTGGTCACTTTTAAAAAACATTTTATTTTGAAATCATCTTGAATTTAGTGAAGAAATGCAGAGAGAACAGAGAGTTCCCACATACACTCTAGCCAGGATTCTCCCAACATTCAAGCTTTGCATCTCCATGGTACAGCTATCAAATCTAGGGCAGTAACACAGGTACCACACTATCAGTTGTACTTCAGACTTTAATCGGAATTTACTATTTTCTGCACTTAAGTTCTTTTTGTCTTTGGGGTCTGACGCAGACTACCAATGTCACATTTAGGCAACATGTTCCTAGTCTGCGTCGATCTCTGACAGTTTTTCAGTTTTACTTGTGTTTCATGACTTTGACCTTTTTTTTTTTTGGTCTTTTTTGAGATAGGGTCTCATACAGTTCAGACTGGTCTCAAGCTTACAGCAACCCTCCTGCCTCAGCCTCTCAAATGCTTAGGTTATAGGCATATGCCACACATACGCCAAACATTTCTTAAAAAAGTATTTGTAGGTTATTTTGTGGAATAACTGAGTGGTCTGATGTTTTTGTAGGATTACAAATATTTGGGACAATCCAGGGTGAACTGCCTTTGTCCTTGTGACTTGCTCTTGGTAGGGTGAACTCTGGCAATGAGGCCTAGGTGGTCTTGGCACTGTAACGATACTACGCATCCCTGCACTGACTGGACCTTAGGAGCAAGTCCCAAAGTCCAGCACACCCAGAGAGACGGAAAGCAAGCCACACTTCCTGGAGAGAGGTCTGATAAAGAGTTTGCAAACACGATGAAGAGTAATTACACCTACTGGCTATGCAAATAACCTGTTTCTTAAAGTTCTATACAGCAACTTTTGCATTTGTCTGTACACTTTGCCTACTGCAGTGAATACTGTGATTTTTTTTTTAAATGGTGTTCTAGTTTCTTAGATCCCTCTACATTTGTTTAGAACCCCTTCTTAAGGAAGACTTAATTATTTTATTCCATAGTCATGGACTCATAAATGCTTGTTCTGTGGGTTATAATTCAATAATACCACCATTTATTTTGTGTCAAACTGTTCTAGCTTTTCCCACGGAGGGCTCCTCCAAGTGGACTGCAGGGTCCTTTTGCTGAGCCCTATCTGATCTTTTTGCTCCAATACTTCCTCACTTTCTGGCACTGTAGGAAGCTTCAGGCTCCTCTTACATTTTTTTCTTTCTTTTCTTTTTTTCTTGGAAACAGACCCTCACTGTGTAGTTCAGCTGGTCTGGAACTCACTATATAGCTCAGATTGGCTCAAACTTGCAGAGATTCTCTTGCCTCAGCCTTTTGTGTGCTGGGCTTACAGGCATGTGCCGACACACCAGGTTCCTCTTGTATTTTCTTACCCTGACTCTCGAATCAGCTGGTTGTCCAAGGATCCCTGGCCACAATAAGGACCTTTTAACACAGAAGGATTGCTAGAGAAGAATGACTTACACATCTCTAAAGGGCTGCTTTAAACAAAGAAAACAAAAACAAAAGAAAGGAAGTCTCTACAATGGCTCAAGAGGCACAAAGCCTAAAGTATTTACTTTTTGACCCATTCCTACTTAGAGCAAAAAGATTTCACATCTTATTTTGAGCAGGGACTTAATAAAGCTCTGGAAAACATTCACCTAAAATAACTGAACTTTTTCTTTGTTAAGCAAACTGCTAGGTCTGGTGCTTTACTAAGACACAGACTTTTTCTTAAAATCCTCATCTACAGCTAATTAAGTGTTCCACTGCGCCAAAGGGAAGGCAGACACAGGTTAACAATGTCACCATTTTTTCCCTATGCACAACTGTGGGAAAGAACCCACTCCGTGAGGAAGACATTTTGAGTATAAAATGGTTTCAACAAAGATCAGAAGAAGCTTTAAAATGAATAGCACACAAGACTACATTCTCTCTCAATATCTAAAGGCCTACTTGTGAAGTGAGGCTGGAACCCCACTGCTTCCAGTGGTGCCCCTGGGCTGCCCCAGCCTTCCTGATGCCCTAGAGGACTGCACTTAAGCAAGGGCTGTTAAGTTCTAAGTGAACCCAGCACACAACAGAGGACAATTCACTTTGCATGGGAGGACACCTGCCAGCCCCTCCCGATCTGAAGGAAAATCAGTAAAAATTAACTTCACTGAGAACAAGAATTTCCTAACCAGGCACACTTTCCTACATTTGCAAAACTAGCCAGCATGAGACACCTGTGCTGCTGGCGGCCAACGTCCTATGAATGGAGATCAACAGGGCCCCCTCTTGTCTTCCTCTTGCAGCTGGCTGCTGTCTTTCCTCATCTTCCCAGGGCTTCTCCACTGGTATTTATTCCTAATAACTCTGCTTCACTCCCCAGACTCACATAATCAAGACTGAATATGACTCCAGAGGATTACATGGAGAACTGTTTTCACATCCAGCAAGCTGTATTTTATTCATCTTTAAAACACAGCCTGCTCACAGCACTTTCACATCCCTGGCATTTAGGGACATCACTCTTGAAACCAAGTGGTTGTAACTGGCAGCACTTCTTCTGTGCAGCGGTACAAAAGCAAGGGTGTGACTTCTATCTGATGGCATCTGAGATTTGATGAAATACAGTATCATTTCACTCTGCTGTCACAACACTTCTGAGGTAAGTGGACCAGCTCCTCGTCACAGATGAGGAAAGTGATACGCCACAAGTCCCAGGTGGAGCGTGCAGAGCAGACCCAAGAGCAGGTGCAGGGGACCAGCCCCGCCGCACCTCCACACCACAGACCCTGCCTCTGCCACTTCACTTTCATCATGCAAAAAGCCTGATAGATGCTTGAATTGCAGTCAGTCACCATTAATTAAGCCACTCCATAACTCTGGTTTCAAGTTACCTTTATCTCTCTCTTTACCCACAGTTGGTTTTTTGTTGTTCTGTTTTCAATCGTCACATATCAGGGATTCACTGTAAAACAATCAGGACTGCTAGAAAACCAATCCAATGATCTGATTCCCGGAAGTGGTCTTCTGTGAGTCAGCAGGTAGGCATGGAAAGTCACACCCATGTTAAAAACAACTGAGGCAGGCCACTTTTGCCCTACCTTTCTGTAGTGCTTATTTCTGTTAAGAGACTGACTACAGGGCTATCTGCTCTCTCTTCCTGGATTTCCACAAAGCAGCCTGCAGCCACTCCACTTCATTGCCTAGCAGGCCCTGGAAAGGATACTACAAATTACTGTCTGAGAAATTTACCAGATAGTCCCAAGAAAGACAACTTTAGCTTCCACTCTGAAAAAAAAAAAAAAAAATTTATTTATTGATGTTTTCTTTTGATCAGTCCAGAACACTGTACCTTAAATAAACTCTACCAGTGGAAGAAATAATTCCATAAAATGAGGAAGTGAAACTACAGCCCAGAAAGTGAGATGGGTTTGCACAGGCCACAGAAAGGAAGTAAATTTTAGACATGGGGAACCACAATTAAAATCCCCAGGCTCTGGAGGTCAAAATAAAAAATCCCACCCTGTAAAGGTTCCTGGTTGCAACTGGCAGGAAACTACGACAAATGGCAGTTTTCCTTTAATATTCCCAGCCTACAGATTCTCAACACTTAAGTCAAACCATCTACTACAGAAAAATATCAACAGTGACAGGAATGTCACCATACATTTAGACAGCTTTCCCAACTATACACAGAGGAGGAGGATAATTAGAGGTTTGGGGTACTGGTGCGCTTTCCTGAGACACTGTTTAAAAACACCTGGTTTCTCTACAGTATACTCTGAGAGTTTCCATTTTACAGTTTTCAAAGCATTTTAATAGCTATCTAGCACTTGATTTCATAAGCAGAAAACTTGAGAAACTCTTACGAGGTAGGCAGGTACCTATTATCCGATTTAGAGACAGGTCATTTGGAGAAGGTAGTTGTCAGTAATGACTTGGGGTAGGTCAGCAGCACTACCTGACTATTAATTCAACCATGATAAACCCAGCATAATTATCTGATTCATGATGCCTAGAACCTCCAGTGGGACTTGAACATACATGTAATTAACTAAAGACTTGCCTGTGAGTCTATTTTTTAATTCAGTAAAAATCATCAAAGGTCCACAGGTAAAATGATCAAGATGCACATCCACCAGTGAACACATAATGCTGAGGCTAATTCTGTCATTCCTTTTTCAGATTCTCTCTGATTTTTATAAAGAGAAATTCTCTATTTACTATTTGGTTACTCAGTGGGGTTCAAGTCAAGGGTGAGGAGAAGCCAGATACTTAAATATTTTTTTTAACTTGTTTAAAAGAATGAGTTCGTTTACTAGCTTTCTCTAGCAGTTACCAGTCAGGAGTGGGATTGGTACAGTCTGGGTTATTACTATGAACAAATGGATTTAAACTCCCTGGTGTGTTTCACTCCAGTGTGGGTACTCTTAGCAGTGCTCACACTGTCCTATCTGGCCAGCGGGCCCTGAGTAGGAGTCGGCTGCAAAGCCCACCGCCAGGATCCCTGCAGTCTTGGGGTATGCTGTATCCTGGTGTGCCCCTCGCTCATTTTAGGTATTTTCTGCTTCAGACTTCCTGGCAATCCTTTCCCCCAAGAACCAAGACTCCTTTTCTGGTCACGTGCATCTCTAAAGACCCCAAGCTCAGGCACAGGAGCTACTTATTCAATGCTGGCATCACAGCTGCTGCAGAACACAACCTGGTGCTCAAGCATCTGTTAACACTGACAGCTAGTACCAATGTGGTCTAAGTAGTCTCCTTCTTACATAGTGTATGGGTCTGTTTTCTGTCAGTGTCTGCCTCATCCGGCCTCATCCTTCATTATATCGAAGTATCTGAAGCTCAGGAATGGCTAAAGGAGATCTGAAGACTCAAAGTATCAGGCCTGTGGTGAAAGCCTG